AGTAGAGGTATGGGAACAAAATGATGGAGGTTGACAAGCAACCTCCATGCTTAAAAAGTTTCGGCCCATGTGTCCTAATGAGGACAAAAAATGTCTACTAGTCTTTTAACCATGGTAGAGTAAGCATTTGATTTAATCATGGTTAACCAAAGTGTCCAAAACTTTGTACATGACTTATTTTATGATACCTTATCATATAAAGGCTATTTTTCTACTTCTTACAATATTGTTTTCATAGAACAATAATTTTTCTCTAATTAAATACAAGAGTTGAATTTATTTATTAATATCAAATATATAATAAATATTCAGTAAGTACTAACTTGATTAAGGTGTGACCTATAGGGTCATATTTTATTAGCAATGTCACTCAATAATGATTCTTGGGCATATGGATCCAACACTATCAGGGGGGTGCACAAACACTATTACACTCACATGGGGGTACACGTAACAATTGGGGGTACATATAGAATTTTCCTTAGTCAAGGTCTATGTGGCATATTGATAACCGGGTTACCCCTTCATTTTGTCCAAAGTGACCAAATCGACCCGCCAAAAACCAATTTATTCCCTTAAAAGGCACGAAAAAAAACTTTAAGGACTTAATTGGCAAAATTGTAATACATAGAGGGTGTTTGGGATTGCTTTTCAAGTGACTTTTTGGCTTTTAGCTTTTCCAAAAAGTTAAAAAAAAAATTCACAAAGATGTTTGGCAAGTAAAAAAATCCTTTTGAAAATAACTTTTTGCCAAAAAGAAAATGGTGGTTTTTTAAAAGTCAGGAAATCCTTTTTTTTTGTGACTTTTAGCCACTTTAAAGGTAAATTACATTCAAAAGTCAAGAAAACTAAAACAAACACTTTTTAAAAACAAATTTTGGTTTTTGCTCCCTCAAATGCTAAAGTCAAAAATGAATGACTTTTACAAAAAAGACTTTTAAGGATTAAAAAGTAATCCCAAACACCCCCATAATATGGTCGTTGCGTAATTTTCCATTTTTTCTAGTAGTGCAACCCCTGTCATTGCACGCATCACGAGAGAGAGAGAGAGAGAGAGAGAGAGAGAGAGAGATTATCTTCTTATTCGTGTGTAACATTTTGCGTCACGCACCATGAAACGTCGCGGCCATGAAGATGAGAATAATGTACATCGTCATGGTGGCAATACCACATGGCCACAAACAGGCTTTATGTTTGTATAGTAGGGATGAGCATATGGACCGGGGAACCGGACGGAACCCGATGGAACTGGTCGGGCCGGGACTTGTCGAGTTTTGGAACCGGGAACCAATAGGAACCGGTCATTGGAACAGACCCAAAACCGAGAACCGAACCGGACCAGCTTTGTCACAAAAACTTCTCTTCACTTATAATAAATCCTTAAAATACTCTTCAAGTAGAATGAGACTGTTAATTGAATGGCTGTAGTAGCATTCATGTTGATGCACTCTGTTTGTATTGCAATAATTTGGTGGAATCAATATGGTTCTTTATCTTTGACTTTCAATGATGTTGGAATATCAAATGTTCTGTTGACAAGATTATATGTGGGAGTAACCAACTTTTGCAGATATTAAATGTGATATTAAGTACATTTTAGTAATCATGCATGATTCCAACTTTTTATAAAATGAATGGCTTACAGGTGCAGTTTGTGCTTCGGTAGATAGTCAAGGGAGAAAAATGCTTATAACTGATAACTAAAATATTTCCCAAAATACGTTGCTATTTCTTGTGGACCGGTTCCAACATCGAAAACCCGATAAAAACCGGAACCGGTTCCAACATCGAAGACTCGATAAAAACCGGAACCAGAACCGGTAGAACCGGCGGTCCGGTTCGGTTCTAAATTTCAACCAACTTCGGTTCCTGGATCGGGTCCAATTCGGACCGGTCCCAGCCGGATCGCTTTCGTTGTTCATTCCTACTGCTGCCTCTGCCTCTGCCTCTGAAACATAAATTCAGATTAATCAAAGCCATATTTTTATTTTTAATGGAAGGTTTTATTTTGATCTTATAATTTTATTTATAAATTAAATATATATAGAGTGAGAGATAAAGGAAATGTGTGCCCACAGGTCTTCTTTATCTGACAGAAGTCTGGAGAAAAGAAAGAAAACTGTAGTAAGAGAGTCCTTTTCTTTGCGTTTCATTTTCAACACTGACACCCACCTCCAGCTCCACCTCCTTCACACACACCAATATACCATTTTTACACTCCACAGATTTCCCCACAAATATGTCTTCTATCGATAATTTTGCTGACGTTGAAGTACCAGCTGTTGGAATGGGAGCGCTTCCTGCAAGACGCCGCCGCCGTCGTGGCCGTTCCAGCCGTCGGCGCCGACCTTCTCATGCTTTTAGCAGCGAAGCTGCTACCACTGACGGCGGTAGCAGCTTTGGATTATCTGACTCCGATGCGCAGTCCTCCGCGCGTCTCGATTCATCCGTCGCCGGTGACGAATGTGGGTCTTCTGGAATCTTCTCCTACAATCACAGCCGCATGGAGTCATCATCAGATGAGATTGATTTGGAGAGTGGGGAATTGGAGATGAAGGTGCATTCTTCTATTAAAAACGAGAAACAATGTCGAATTTGCCATCTGAATTTTGAGGTTAGTGACGTTGATCAGGCGGAGGATGAGGATGATGGTGGTGGTGGTTGTGGTGGTGGTGGTCCAATTGAGTTGGGGTGTAATTGCAAGGGGGATCTGGGTGCTGCTCACAAACAATGTGCAGAAACTTGGTTCAAAATCAAGGGAAACATGTGAGTTTCACTTATTCTCTCTCAAATACTTCATAAATTCAAGCTTTATACGAAGTTCGTTGTCGATTAAGCATTTTTCTCATCTTTATCTTCATGCATTTCACTTCGAATTTCTTTGTAAATTGCTGTTCCTATGAGATTTTTTGGTTGTCAAAATTTGGGCAAAAAGTGTGTTAATAAGAGTTGTTCAGTTCAATTACCCATTTCTGTTTCCTGGTAAAATCTCAACAATAATCACACTTCAATTTTGCATTTTGAATTGAAATTCCCTCTCCTTGTTCCTGAACTTGATGGTAAAAAAACGTTGACTTCTGTGGTCAAAATTAATGTTGATGCATTTCATTAGGTTTCAAGATTAATAAATTTGTATTTGGTTTCTCTTTTATGAACATGGGATGCTAAAATCGAATCTTTTTACCACAAAAGTCAAAAAGTATCTCTAAATTCGGTATAATGCACAAAATTTGTAATCTCTATTTTGAAATTTTGACTTCAATTAGAAATTTATAGGGATGAAATAGCATAGAAAGCTTAATTTTCAAAAAGAATTTCACAAAGGTTTAAGGTTATAAGTTTTGATCATAATGTGCGATCTATATCTAGAGTACAAGGTTCTACCTCAAGATATCAAGAAATATCCATAAAATCTTTATAAATAGTTTGGTTTAGCAAGACATCAATGTGTAGGGCATTTAGGTCATTTACATAGACGAGGGGTTGCAATTTTTGTCTCATCATCCAATGTATGTCAAACACAGTATAAGACCGACCGCAATGTTTTGTCAAATGTTGAGTGTAACAATTGGGACTCAAGATCAAGTTTAATAATGCATAAGAAACCAACATTAAAATAACTAAAACCAACTTTTGGCTTTTAAAACTATTATAATTTACTCATGCTAATTGCATCGTGTTTGGTAAGATGTGAGATAACCTAACCTCAAACAAACATATTTTTATTAATTTTTCAAGAATTATATTGACCTACATGTTTTGTTTTTGTTTTCTTTTGTTTTGTTTGTATTTCCAACTTCTAATATTTCAAGATTCAATAATTTGCATACAAATTTTGTAACGTAGTTGATGGCAATATACGGCTTATCGCTATGTATAGTTTCCTTGCCAATTGGCAACTTTTTGGTGGTATGTAATTAAGGCTCGGGTCATTGTCATTGTCATTGTTTCTTTTTTTAATTAAAGGGATTAATAAAGCAAAGACTTAAGTGCTTTCTCCCTTTTCACTTACTAGGCTTAATGGGTTCAGTACTTAAGTACTTAATCTGAACATCAATACATGGATATTTCTTTTTCACTAAAAACATGGATCTAATGTATTAAGACGCTAACCCTTTACATATTTGCATTTCTTTTTTTCTCCCCCAACTCCTATTACGTTAAAATCAATGAGCATTGTAAAAATTGTTTTTCGGGATGCAAGGGCAAAATGGTCATTTAGTCTAAGCTCAGACGGTTGGGTTTATTCAATCTTATTAAAGGAAACAGACCTTATGTATACAACACTTTACCCATTCATCCATTTTAGATGTACACAACTTAATGGGGACAAAGACTTGATTCTTTCAACTTTATGCTTCTAAAAATATTTATGATGATGATGATGATGATACAGGACTTGTGAGATTTGTGGTGCGATTGCACAAAATGTTGGTGGGGATCAGACAAATGAGGCGAGCAATGCAACCGTTGAAACAGAGGTGGTTGAACGATCAGCCACCGGCCCCATGGTGGTGGCTACTGAGCCACGTAACTTCTGGCAGGGTCGCAGAATCATGAATATCCTGTTGGGTTGCATGGTTTTTGCATTTATCATTTCTTGGCTTTTTCACTTTAATGTATTGCCTTAATTCAGATTATTTTATTTAAAAAAAAAAAAAAAAAAAGTAACAATTGATGTTTCTTAGTGTATGTGTGTATGGACTGAACGTTGGATTACAAAAGTGTATATACTTGTAAGTTGTAAGCCTGGAAGTATATGTTTCATGTTCTTTTTGAGTTCAATTATTCTTTATCATATATGTAAAAAATCACTACAAATATCACGTATGCCATAACATTATTGGCTCTGTTGTGGTATTTTTACAGAAAAAACAAAATAAATAAATAAACAAGTTGGGCAACACAACAGACAGTTATTTAACTGATTTATATCTCGTATGATGTAATTAATATGTTAGTTAAGGTCTTTCTTGAACAACAATAAAACAATAATACAATGCTCCAAGTTTTCTCAAATGCAATGATAAGAGTGATTTTTGTGATCATCAAAATTTTAAAACTTTTAATAAGAAACGTGAAAGTGTCTTCGGAACTAAGTTCTTAACCCATTAAGATCATTAAATCAAAAATTAACAACCCCTTAAGACTATGATCAATGTTAAATCAAACAGAGGGCAGTAATAAGCTCTTCGTTTACTGGCTTTCAGAGCCTTCATTGTTCTTAAAATCAGCAACTGCTTGCTCAAAAGTGCTCCTAACATGCTGACATATCATCATGAGATCTTGGCATGAATCTTTCAATACTTCCTTTGCTGGATCACCTGCAATAGTGGGACAACTATTTAAATAGTGTTCATGATTAAAATCCCGTGATAGATCATGCATGTTTTCTGGAAAAGGGTTATAATTGTAATTATATGTACCTGTTGTCTGGACTCTTATGTTTACTTTAGCTTCTGAAGGATGAGGAATACTGTATCCACAGAGTGTAACTCTTGGACTAAAAACACAAGGCAATAACAGTAAATTACACTAAGGTCCTGTTTCTTTTTTTTCCCTTCAAGTAATATCTGAATAATTGCAGGAATTTGAGAGCATGTACTTACTCTTGGTTAAGAGTGAATCTTAGAGAGTTTGCTAGTGTATGATCTTCATCGTTCAGGGTATGTGTTGAAGCTGATAGATCCTGATATGAACCGTGTTCCATTTTGGACTAAAAATCTGGAAAGGTTTAAACAAAATTTATACAAGTGAGAAACAACAATCATAAATATTTGAAACTGCAAACTTTTTTCATGTTTCATACATAGAATGTCATTTTGAAGTATAATGGGAAGTTGGAAACTAAGAAACGATGGTTATTAGGTTAACCATGGGTTTTTCAGTATATACAATAAAAAGTATCCTGAATTACAGACGATTGTATTCCATTATTCATATAAAAAATCATGTTCAGTTGTTCAACAATTAGTGAAAACAATCAAGGCAACTTTGGGAACTTTGATTCCATGGGGATGGAATTGTGTTCGTAACTTCAGTTAAAAGATGGAATAAAAGAGCTTCAATGAAACACTAAACAACATCAATCCAGGAAACAATCACACAAAATTTGACGCGAGTGTACCCAAAGGGAAATGCCCAAATTAGTTGAAACATTATATCGAAGTCTCGAACAGTTTGAAAGCATGGTAAAGTAAATATAAATAATAGCGTAGGTTAATGCAAAACACTCCAATTGATCTGGGAAACAGGCTTATCTAGAGATAAGTAGGCAAAATTTAGAGTTGGTGTGCAAAAATAATTACCGATTGATTGAGACATTATATCAAACAGTTTGAAGGCATGGCCAAAGAAAAACGAACAACATATCATGCATAAAATCCTCCGATTGATTTGAGAAGTAGGTAAAGAACATATTACACTTCCAGTCGAAAACTATGCTTACATAATAATCCGTATATGACTTTCTTCTTGAATTCTAGACTAATTGAGATTCTACAACGCCATTAAATTAGGGCAAGAATAACAGAGAACCGGGATTACCTGAGCTTTTCAAAAGTCTGCAGCACTCTGATAAACCCTAAGTCAGAATTACTAGCAATGAAATTAAAATTTTAGAAGCGTGTAAAGAGGAAGATACATAAAAAGTTAAAAACTGGTCTCCACTTACCATAAAGAAAAAGTAATTCTACTTCCGCCACTAAAGTTTCATTGTTTCTAATTTCCGTTATGAATCTTTCTAATAGCTTCATATTGGTCCTATCATTCCCACTATTTTCTACCAAAAATGCCAACAACAGGTGCGTACTGCGTAGATATATGAAATGAATTAGATATGTTAAATACAAACAAAACAAATCACATAGGGTCCTTTTCACAAAAAAATAAAGAATATAACCAATTATTATATAAAAGTTGTAAAGAGTTATTATAAATACACTCAAACAATTGGCATGAGAAAAAACAACATTAAAATTTTGCATGATCAAAAACTACATTGGTTGGTATATCTCATGAATCATAAATTGTCAGAATCAAAAATCCTAGTTTCACACTCCAACTCATCCCCTTAGAGCATACGGTGTGGGTCGTGTTGCTTCTTGTTATGGCTGAGTTGGCAGCCCATAACGTCGTTATAACATCAAAAACACCCCCCCCCCTTCCTTGTTGCATCTTGTTGTGGTGCTTCTTGTTGTCTCCATGACAAGAAGAAACGTGATCACCTATTGGCTGCCAAATTATCTCTCTCTATCTCTCTCCTCTTAACATGGTGTTATAACACCATGAACACCACCCCCTCATCTTGTTGCTTCTTGTTATAACACCACTTCAAGTTGCTCATACCATATGCTCTTAAGTTGAAGACCAAGATTTAAATCCTTAATTTATCAACATCAATCATAGGTCACATCAATTACCTATAAGAAACTTTTTCGGTCTACGCACATGCAAACGTGATGATCGAAACATCCATTCGTCGTGGGTGTTGTATTGCATTTTACTTAATAGGTTTAATAGACACAATTTAATCCGATAATATATATATATATATATATATATATATATATATATATATATATATATATATATATATATATATATATATATATATATATATATAACGAATTTGGAGGAATTAGAATGTAAATTCCAGTATAAATTGCATTTGGTTGACAAAATCGAAGGATTTGAAATTTTATAAATTTCATTAAATTTTGCTCACGAATGAATTGGTCATTCTTTGTTTAAGAGCAAAGATTTTAGATTCTATTCCTTTAATTTTATTAAAAACTAATGTTGTAAAAATCTCGACTAGTCCCCGATTAATCCCTAGTCATTAGGCAATATGTGACTAACTAGGCGGCGCCTAGCGATTAATTCATGCCTAGACAATAGTTAATTTGTCGAAACCGATGAATTTTTAACATATTGAAGAAGTTATATCTTAATAAAAACTACTTGAGAAAGTATCATATTTTGTAAAGTTTAAGTGACTTACAATTTAAGGTCTTCGATTAATCTTTGGTTGTTAGTCAATCTACTTGGTACCGTCAAACGGATTTTACATCCTTGTTAAAAAAAAATCCTACTCACTTCCTCTTTATTTTAGCAATTATTCATCAAATGAAAACAAATTATCATCCTCTCCGATAAACCACCCACCTACTCAACCCTACCACTACCCCTCCCCTCACACAAATATAGTCATATACACCCCATCGGACCCCAACCTCAAACCTACAGCCATACCCACATGAACTATGCTCACACCCACTCCTACCACCATCCCACCCACCAAACCACACCGACACATACACTCATCCCACCCTTACACCAACACCTATCCCACCCTACCCATATACTCACTTTACTGCACCCTATCCCCACCCTAACCCTACATCTACATGCTCACCCACATACCCATGCCTATAAGCTTACCCCCACACCCATCCACACATACCCCACCCTACGCACACCTGTAGCCAAACAAATATGCCCATCTTGACACTCATTTTTAGTAAAAATAATAAGAAGAAAAAAAATCAATAAAATGATATTTTTGTCTTATTACATAATTTTACTTTCTAATTACTTTGACAAATCTGCAAATGAAATAGAATACAAATTTTATTCCATGTCAACCAAAACCAAACAGATTACATTTATATTCCAATTCCTACAAATTCTAATTCTAATTTTACGATAGACTTCTTTCAAAAAATCCGGGGAAGCTAAAACCCCCCTAAACGTTTTGAAAATTTGTTATAACATATTTTATCTTATTTCTCCAACGTAACAGTCATTTTCCCAAATATTTTTAAACGTCATTATTTATCTAGACAGTAGTTAATGGGAAAAGAAAAAGAAGCAGGGTCTAACAACAGACTTCACGCAGAAGATAAATACCTACTAATTCCGTAAAGAAAATATTCAAGAGTTATGGATTAGATAAATACCACCTACCAAAATATAAAGCTAACAAAAATATCATATCATATGTTATCACATTACTTATACACAAGTAAATGCAACACTTTGTGAGCCATTGTTATCTTAATACACATCAAACCACCTACACTATTTAACTACATTATAACAAAGACCATAATCCCATTCTAAACCCTTCCAACAGGCGAAAGAGGTGGAAATGAAGCAAAACTTAATGGATTCAGATCATCTTCTACTTGTTTAGCAATGTACGTTCTTGATTCTGTATCCTGAGTTGATTTCCTGCACTCCACAACCGATATACAGATAGAAAATGCTTGTAAAACAGAAACGGATGAATTGTATTCAACCGAATATATCCCTTCCTTTAATGGACAAACACTGAAGAAGCTTCTCTCATTTATGTTATCTCCCTGTGAAAAAGATGAGAAAAAAAAATATGAACACATTAGCATCTAGAAATGAAGGTGGTGTTGATGAAATGTACCTGAAAGAAAAGATCAAATTGACCACTTGTTGCATTTGATCTTCTCCTAGATTCCACCTGGTTTGTGAATGTTCTTAATCTGCAGCCCAAATCCCAACCACCACAGTCACATGCACCACCAGTAATCCACCGCTCAATTAGCGGTGTAGGCCATCCTTTACTTGATACACCATGATTGCCGCCAGGTAGCACCACCGTTGTGTTAAATCCTTCTGATTTCTCTTCTTTATCATCAACCTTCCTTGAAAACTTCACAACAATGGCTGCCAGCTCATCACGTGGTTGGACATTTGATATTTGACCATTTGGTTGACTTTTGTCCACAGGAAACAAAACAAACTCCCGAGTGTTTGAATTAGAAACCACACGATTTGAAACCTTCATTCGAGCTATTACATTAGGGACATAATCTTTGTCCTTTTTGCTCTGAGATAACCAACTCCCATTCTTTTTCTTGACCTCATCAATGGTGAAGAATGTATAAATCCAAGTGTTGTTATTTTTACTTAAATCCCTAACTGTTGCTGCAAGGGCGTTGCTATTTTCAACTGCAAATGTGAACATAGGACGCCCATTCTTGATAGCTGTTTGAAAAAGAGCTTGCTTTGAATCTGTGATAACTTCGCGACAGTTTCCCGACACTTTCGCGACAGTTTCCAGATGAGAGTTGGTTGCTTTTGATGGAAATAGGGGCTCCAATAACCTTCTTAAAGGACTTGAAGAAGATCGATTTGAGACACATGTATTACCAGTTGTTGATTTTTGAGAAATTGGTGACTTAGAGCTCATTGTAAAGCTAAATCGACGAAGTGGAGACATGCTTCTTTGTTTCCTAGAATCAAGATTTGAAATCTTGGAAGAAAAAGATGATCTTTTTTCTTCAAGAACATGACTTCTTGAAGTATTAATTTGATTTCTTGAAGATTCAGGTTCCATTTGTAAAGTCTTGCTGACAACTGAATCTTTTGCATAATTTGTAGGCCTTTCATGTATCTGATGAGATGGATGTTGAAGATTTTGTGGTTCATTTCCCTCTTCATTTTTTATCTTCATTTTTCCCTTCAAAGATGACAAATTTGTTTGACGATTTCCCATATTCATGGATGATTTAGATTCTGGAATCTTGGGTGGACAAGAATTGTATGTTTTGTAATCTTTTCGCTTGGTTTCTGACGTTTTCTTTTCAGAATCTTTAAAATCTTGAAGCTTTTCAAGATTCCCAGAATTTGATATGTTAAAATGAGATTGTAAGGTTACACGGGGAGCAGGAGAACAGCTATGACCTATGGTGGATTGGGGAGATGAAGCATCAGTTGAAAATAAAGAAGAAGAAACACTGCTAGAGGTTGAACATTTGCTACTTTTAATTGTCCCCTGTTTAAGATTCTGATATTGCCATTTTTCTAATCTCCCATAATCCATGACTCCAAAACTTAAAGCTCTATCTGGGGTAGCTTTACCTGACTCAAGGTAACTTGGTAAACTTGATATGTGTCTGACTATTTCATCTTTTGTTCTAAAAGATTGCTTTTGGGTATGGATTGAAGGTGATGATACCAAATTTGATCGGGTCTTCAAGGCTTCAGAATGATAAAGGCGACGTTTTTCTAATTCAAATCTGTTTCTCAATGTTGTGTCATGACTTTTTCGGGCTGAAATTGGGTCACCCATTTTCTGTGTTAATGTCCACAAAACTTCAGATGGAAGTCAAATCATTTCTGCCATGTCAAAGTCAAACTTTCTGCACCAGATAAAAGATGACAATAAACAAGTTAATCATTTTCAAAATGGTTAATCTAAATGATATTGGTTTGTTAAACTAGTCAACATTTTCATGATCATTAACCACCTCTAGGTAGCTTTTCTGATGTATTGCTTAAAAACTAAGAATAAGGTGATAAAAATATTTTGTTCAACATCTAGTTAGTTGAGTCCAAATGTACAAGTGAAACAAGATTTACTAAAGTTATCCATTGGTTGTTCTAGATCTCCAAGTTGCATAAAAGAAGCATAGAAACCATCTCTGGAATATATGGACAAGAAAGGAACTGGAAGTGTGAATGTGTGGTCCCATTTTATATAAGTTGAAGACAAGGCAATAAAAGTTGCAGAATGTCACATGAAACACATAAACAAGATTCCCTGATGAGTAAAATAAGGGTGATAAACAGATCAAAATATTTTGAATATATTAACCCTGATTGGGCCAGAAAAAAAGGAAACAGTACATGATGAAAGATAAAAAAAATAACCTAAAGCACATTCTCTCGTTGCCTTCGGTTTTTTTTTTTGTTCTATTGTTTGCTTTCCCTTTTGTAATGATTAAAAACTGCTGAGAGACTAGGCGACCTCTCTCTATCTCATACACAAAAATAGTTAAATAGACCTAGATTCAAGATGTGATTCAGAGGCAAGATGACCCATAAAAAGTGTTCCTATAGCAATGATAAAAAGAAAAAGGGGGAAAATAAAAAATTGAGAAAATAGTAAACTTTTTTCTTTGCAAAACATGTACTCTCCAGTATTACTTTCTAATGCTCCTGATTAACAGAAAAAAGATCCTCAACTTGTGTTGATTTGGCGACTACAGGTTAAAATGTGGAAACTTTCTTATTTTCAAGATTTCTCTAGATGCAATCAGAGACCCAGCAAGTAAATCACTTCCGACTAGCTAGAGTGAACAAGAATCATTCATTCATTCATTCATAAAATCAAAAAGCTTCTACGCTCTAAAGAGATTGATTACTCAGTGGGGCAATTTGTCGAACACTTACCCGACGTAAGTTGGAAATAGCAATGGATTCTTCCAAGACGAAGAAAATGTATCTGTCGGGGAACCACGCACCACAACACAAAGCTTGCCACAGCAACTGAAGAAACCGAGTCAGAAAACTCAAACAACGCGGATAAAGATTTGACTTTTTGTGGTTCTTTCTTCCAGAACCCAACGGTCCAAAGAAAGTATTTACAGTGAAAAGTAGTGTGGTTGTGTGTGAAAGGTGGAGAGAGTAATTTATGGGGGGGTGAAAGTTGTTGGGTCACTTGTTTTCTGCAGTATGTCAGATGACCGAATTAGTAGAGAGAGGTGGGGGGACAAGACGCGTTCGATTGGACGGCTGATGGCGGATTAAATATCCAGGCTTATTATTTTCGATTAAAAATGAATCCTTAATTAATAAAATTACCTTTTCTAGTTTTAGGGGTCTACGAGCTGCACAATGGCCCTGGGCTTTCGAGCAAAGTCAGACCCGGCCTGATCTAAAGCAGCTGTCAGCGGGCTAAGGTTATGTGTGATTTAAGAGTTATCTTTTATTTGGTCCGATAATAGCGTATGATAGCAACACTTAAAGCATTTTATCGGGTTCTAAAGCCTCTTACTCAATCCACCAAAAAAATGTTAGATTGCTCAAAGAAAATACCATATGGGGCAACAACCTTCTTCCTCCACCCTCCGACAACTCCTCTTCCACCTCGTCCACCAGCGTTGGCTCCAACCTCTGCAACTCTGGTAAGTTGATGCTTCTTTTTTCTGCAATTGAAATTTTTGTTTCATTTATGAAATCAGAAAAATTATTTGAGACTCCTAAACAAGATTACATATATGTGTGAGCAAGACATTAAGCCACTAGCGCATAGTGTATCACAAAGGTGAAATTGGTTATGATGTTTTCCTTAAAATTGTGTTAATTTTCTTACCAAACAGTTATAAGGATCATAATTAATGTGTGGGATGATGCGAGAAGTGATCGAGAAGAATAAGTCCAAGTATCCGATGCTTGATTACACTTGACAACAACTTAAAAGAAACTAGGCTTTACTTTTCAAAGAACCAAGACGGAACAAACATTAAAAAGAATGAACTTGAAGCGAACAAACATTAAAACGAATGAACTTGAAGCATAATGCAAGGGGGTTTTGATTGGTCTCTAAAATCATTTTGGTATGAAGTTGAAATTAGAAAGCTTTTTTCTTCAAGAAAGGGTTTCTAAATCGATTTTGGTCATGTTAAGAAGCTCTATTTTACTATTTTCTCCCTTATTATGCATTTCAATTCCATAAACTTGACAATCATTAATCACAAAATCCACTTTTTTTTATGTTTTGTACAACAAAATTATCTTAACATGAGATGAGATGAGTTTGTGTTGGCGATGGAATTGGCTTGACCGATGAAGGTTTATACTATTTAGATTGAATTAATCATATCATACATGTATTGCACACGGATTCCACTATTACACCATCCATATATTATCAACATGGCACTTCAAATAGATTAGATTTGGCTCTAAAAATGTCTACCGTTCACATAATCTCAATAAGCAACTTTGTATCTATCTTGAATATGTAATCAATTAACATCTCTACTTTTGTTCTCTTTATTGTTTTCTATAACTACTTTCTTTTTAAAATTCTTACATAAATTCGTACATTTCTATTTACATGGGTGTTGAGGATTTGAAAGATGAATGTAGGAAAATATGAATCCAATTTCAAAGTTCAATGTTATTGATGGTTAGTTTCATATATGTAGAAAATATGAATGTGTCGTTTAAGTTGCTAATAAAACAGAAAGGTAAAAATGGTCATTTTCATCATTCAGTACAGCATGTCGGATGCATAAGCAAACAACATGATCTCAATCAGAGGTAGATTCAGTCAGGCCTCTGGCTCAGTCACATCTGACTTAGTCAGAAACTATCAAACAACCCCTAATTATTGGGCTAGACCTGATGTGACATCCCCATTTTCACGACAATTTTAAAACTTTTTATTTTTGCTTATTTAAAACAGAGTTTATTTGTAAATGCTGAATTTGGTCTTGTAAACGTATTTCCAAAAAATGTTTTCCATTTATTATTAAAAATTGTGGGATGTCATAACTTATACAAGAAACATAAGCATAAACAGGCCTTACATTATCTTAGACTAACAGTCTACATCTCCTTGAATCTCTCATCATACATGTACCTTTGCATCGCTACCTGTGATACAAAGAAGTTGAGTGAGTCAGGTTGGAAAACCTGGTGAGTACATAGGGTTTTCAACCCACAATAATATAGTTAACATGTTTAATCATCAAACAAACAATTAACCCCGTTTTCTTCTATATGTATTTCTAATAACATATCTTAAGGATCACCACCTACATCGCATTTCATCGCTCGGTTCTTACATCGCATGAACTCGTAATTCTTCGGTAGAGTACATCGCATGAATACACGGTTCTTACATCGCCATAACTCATAACTCATCACCTATAGGTTGCAATCATGTTGGTGTTCCACTGGACTATTTAGATTAGTATGTTGTCGTTGTCTATACTCTAGTAGATGACTACATCGCAATCATCGTAAACATCTCAAGTAAGGTCAGGGCATCTCCTAATCATTTTTCATTTCTCATCTCCAATCTCTCATCACCCATCGGTACCCTTATATAATAAAGTTGAGTAAAATCATATCATATAAGTTCATCCAACACATATTGCAGATAATAGGCTCACATAGCATTTAATTATCTAAATACTTCATATCTATGTGTAAGATGAAAGTAACTATGCACTCACCTGATAAAAGTGGATGTCTCATAATTTGGGCAGAACTTCGCATTAGCACTTAGATTTTCCTTTTGACGTAACCTAAGTATGTTTAATATTGAGTCTTAGTCTAATGATTCATAGCGACTAATGATAGTATAGATTCCTCACTAATCCTAACGTTTACATCAGGATCTATCAAGTAAGGATCAGCCAGGCAGGACAGTTGGGAGGCAGGATCATTTCGACATAATAACTTTTCTGAAATCCAACAACCAATCCAACGTGACCATTCTAGACACCTCTCCTATAAGTAGATCAATCAGTATTTTAACATGGAATTACTGATAAATCTTATTTATAGGTTCATAATAACGATTTATAACTATAAATATAAGTTACACTGAAAAGACTAGAGTGTATCTTAACTTACTGAGATTCTTTTAACAAAAGATTGGAAATTGCGTTGGTAGAGCTTCAGATTACTAGGTACTGGGTGTCAGGCTCTCAGGGACCTTCGGGCTTCGCCAAATACTTAAAAATAAAGGAAAATGGGGCTAAAATCAAGAGAAACTCGATAAAGGATGTTTGGGTTGGAGTGGAAAACAAATGAGGAAGCTGGAGTTTTTATAGGGCAAATGCACGCTGCGCTCGACCAAGTGTGCATCGCACCTAAACTTGGTCGGAACTCCTTCCTCTCAGAGTGTGACATGTGGCGACTTTTGGTTAGTGATGCGTGGCATCTTCTAGAAGATGAGTGTTGCGCCTCTATTGCGCGAGGTGCACTCGAGAAACTTCAAAAATTCGTAACTTCTTCATATGAACTTCGTTTTTGACATTCTTTATATCCACACGTAACTATTTATTTTTAAATTTATATTTTTATCACGCTTAGACAATTAAAGTCCATTAAAATTTCATAACTTTCTTATCTGATGTCCGTTCTCGACTGTCTTTATATCGACAGAACCCTATTAACGATATCTTCGACTCCCGTTTAGATTTTTTTGGCTAGCAATTAACCAATCTAAAATTCGATTTATGTGTTAATACAGTTGCGATGAAACTTCGAAAAATCGTAACTTCCTTATACGAAGTCAGATTTGGATGTTCTGTATATGCATGCTCTCGATTTAAAGACTACTACGACTTTCGTTTAGATCGCTTAAGCTAATAAGTAATTTATCAAAAAGTCACTTTTTACGATGCATAGAGTCGTGCCGGTTTAATCGCGGAACTTCGAAGAAGCATAACTTCTTTATATGAAGTCGGATTTTAGCATTCTTTATATGTATGAAATCATTGTCACATATATTATAACTTTGGTTAAGGTTATTGATGAATCTAGTTCCTCAGGGTGGTGGAATTGATTAGTAAGATAATGCCCGTCCGTCTAAAGCCTTGTCGAACCTGAGTAAATAGAATAATGTCAGGCGTTCACCGGGCGCTGAACCCGGGAGAACGCTCCAATGCTTACGTCAGATGCAAGATATGGGTGATCGTTATCGAATTATAAGTGTAATGTGGTTGCCAGCGCGTACCTATTCGTGACGAAGTTGATCTGCTTTTATACTGCGTTCGAGTGCGGAAACGGAGATGAGGACGAACCGAACAGGTTCCCATCTCATTGTCATTAATGCGCCCCGTGATGAAGGTACAAAAAAAGTACTTATAAACTGTCGATGATCTTGTCATTCTTGTTATCTAAGTTGCATATAACCATTGGTCCATGACATGTTGTTTTATGCGTTTTTCCCTAAGTATCTTTGACTTGATTCCTGTGAATGTTGATTCACGACGTCTCTCACAAGTCAAGTGGCTCGGCCTCGTCTTCCATGGTTTGGAATTTCGTGATGTACTCGTTCGAACCGTATATTAGTAGTTTAGATTCGACTCGACCGAATCACTTGTGTTCGAAGGTGACATACCTCATTAAGTCCCTTAAGTTAGAACTATTTTTAATAGTTTGAATTTACTTTTCATTTATCAACCTCGACTCTTATTAGATAGACTCAACTGTCAAATCAGGCACCCGATTCGACGATTCAGCTTCTCTATGGCTCATCATTGCCTATTTTGTTACTGTAACTTCGAAGTTGTAAACCGACCCTTATTTACCAGGAACGATCGAATTATTTTTCTTCAACCGCCTCTTCGATTTTAACTACAATCTTCTAACATTCATCCGGATTCCTCCTTCTTTGATTTATTCCTTCATCCTTCTATCATGGAAAAAGATAATCTTCATGTCCACATAGATTTCTCTACTTTAACTCAAGGGCTATTGGATGAAATTATAAAGCCTTTCCACATCGTTCCTCAATTCAAACCCATCCTTCCTTCTGCGGATCAACCCATCACCATGTCTCCAGAAGGCTATGTTGGTGTTTACATGGTGTTTTTCAGGTCTGGACTTTGCCTTCCTACCTTTGAGTTTCTAAATTCAATCCTTGGGTATTATAAACTCCATATTGCCCAGATTACCCCAAATGGTTTCAAGAAAATCATGTGCTTCGTTTTACTGAAAAAAGCCCTAAATATGGTTCCATCTTTATCTTTGTTTCGTCACTTTTATGTGACCATGGCGAGGGCGATTGGGTTTCTTTTTCCTTGCACTCTAGGGCTATTGAGATATGTGACAGATTTCCCACCTTTATCAAGAAGTGGAAAACCAAATTCTTCTTTGTAGATGCATCCGCCTTCGAGGTATCTATGTAATTTAAAAGCCTCACCAATCGTGATCATGACCCACCTATGATCCTACTGCAAACGAGCAAGCCACCATAGACCGGTTAGTGGCTAATTATGTCAAATGCTATAATCTTGATGATTCGATTCTCAAAATTGATGGATTAGAAAGAGTCCCCTATGTCATCGACAAACCTCATACTCCGGCACTCTGTGCTCAATCCAACACGCTCCTTGAACATCTTGTAACATTCAGGTTTTGGTAAATTTCTCTTTTAGCCCTAATGCATTTTTTTTTCTTTTCAAAATTGGTCCCTTGGTTAGTA